CTTCAGTGGGAGGGTGAAGGATACCAGTAGAGGTACACCGATATATCAGTCCCTTTCAGATTGGCACTGATAAAAGGAAAATTGACATTATTGGCAATTGACTATTTTTGGTCAGTATAGCCAATAATGTCATTAATAAATGCCACGTGCACGCGTACAGCCGCAGCATGCACATGGCCAGGAATGCAGCCTGGCAGCTTAGAGAGCAGCGTTCGGCCAGTAAGTTTGTAGGGGGGAAGGGGGATGGTGATCGAGGCTCTCAGTGAGAGAGAGAGTGGGATGGGCAGGTGCTGCCCAAGCAAGGTAGGGCATGGGACGGAGCCACAGGCAGCTTGTCTGGGGCTTGGAGAGGGAGGACGGCTCCCTGCTGCTGCACATACCCATTGGAGGGGCATGGGGGGCATGTGCCCCCCAGATTTGTGCATTGGGCGAAGGCGGGCTGCCTGCTGTGGGCTTGGGCGCTGGGCTGGGGCTACGGTCAGGGCAGGGCAGGGCAGGGCAGGCAGCAGTGGCACTGGGAGGGGTGACTAACCACCCGAAAATTCCCTGTAGCACCTCCGCCCACCCCTAGCACAGCCCCAGCTCTGTCCCTCTGCCAGGAAGAGGCCAGCACAGCCCTTGGCCCCCAAGCCTATAGCGGGCAGCACACAGATGGAAGGAGGGGGGGGGCACATAACACCCATCCCTCCTCCAGGGGTACGCACAGTGGCTGGGAGCCACCCAATCGCATTCCTCAGATGAGCCACCTGTGGCTCCATCCCATGCCCCACCCTGCCTGGACAGTGCCTGCTTCTGCCCCAGCCCCATTCTCACCCTCACCATGGGGGCCTCTATCTGCACCACTCCCCCTGCCACAGACTTACCAGCAAACACTGCTCTCTAAGCTGCCGGGCTGCATATTGGCAATTGGATCAGTATCGGCTGATATGGCTGGTTAATAATTGGCCATCGGTATCGGCCAAAAATTTTTTTTATCAATGCACCCCTACCACCCAGAATAGCTAGGCTTCTCTGCTGAGAGACTGGAAATGCAGGTTTGAATCTCATCAGGCAGAGCAACAGATTGAAACCAGGTTTCTCATTTCCTAGATGAGTGTTCTAACCTTTAAGTTATTATGCAGAGGTGGGCATCCCCACTATCTTTTTCTCTTCCTGAGGCAAGCCTGTTTTAAAAAGAAACGGACACAACTGTATTTTGTTACATCCTGCTGGTATGTTAGGCATATTCTGAGAGTGCCTAGCAGACTGGAACCTTCACGGATGTAGGTGGAAGAATACAGAATTTTTTAATTGTAAGCAAACTTCGTCTTGTGCTAAGTGCTGAGCTCTACAGACTGGGGCAGCTCTGGGCACACACAAAAGCTGAAATATGAGCTGGATTTTTCTTTAGCTAGAGCGTTGTTTTTTTTTTTAACTGCAGTTTTGAACTTGACTGCCTCAATTATACAAAAGCCCTGTTTTCAGAACCCAACTTCTTTACTGAAGTCCAAGATGCACTGGATCCAGCAACCAAAATCCAGTGGTCTGAATCTCAGTATGTGTGACCTGAAATACCTGACCCACACTCACTGTCACAGGCTGAGAGAAGCCACGGCTGGTGTTACTCTACCTGACTCTGGCTCTCGGAGCAGCCTAGGCCTGCGTGCAATCACAAAGTCCTTATCCTTCTCTTTTACTTTCTGCCGTTTCTGAGGAGAGAGGGATACGAGTAGATCCTGTGGGGTGTTTTCACTTCCCAGATGCTCCTTCTTAAGGACAGACACGCCCATGCCCGAAAGTAGCTCTGATGTCTTGGTAGGGTCCCATGCCCACGTGAAACTTGTGAAAACATTACTGCTTGAGGCTGGGATTTCCTTGAGATGTCTCCTGCAAGAAGACCATAGGTTACACTCAGAAAAATGACAATGGCCAATATGCCTAACCTTAAACATCACACTAAAGAGAATGCAGATAGACCATAAAGAATGGTTAAGGCAACTCCAGCTACAACCCCTACAATAATCCAATTCCTCAATGAAAAACAAAAATATGATTTAGTAGCAATACTTTTTTATTTCTATAGCACCCACAAATCTCACAGAGCTTTACAAACATCCACAGCACCTCAAGCTGTAGATCCCCATAGAGAGCAACTGGGGACCAATTTTTGTCAATACATTGAGAAGAAAATGGGTTAAATGCATGCAAACTTAATGGCAGGGAGAAAGCAATGATGAAATGGAAGAAGAGAAGTAACCAAAAATCAGGCAACAATTTTGTTTTTGATTTAGCTGCAAAATAGAAAAAAGGAATTTTGAACAGTGGTGTCACAGTGACAGGACTATAACCAAAAGCGTCACAGCATGCCTGGTGGTCACAGACAGAACACAGCACTTTACCATGGAGGTCAGGAAAGCCCATCAGGCGCAGCTGAGAAACAAGGACTGTTTAACAGAGGTGTACCGATATATCGGTTGTATATCAGATCAGCACCGATAAAAGGAAAATGAACATTATCAGCATTTTTTCACAAGCCAAGGTGACCCCAAATATACCCCCATTCCCTCGCCGGTGGGGCATGCCGGGCTGAAGCGGAGCAGCTGCCACAGCATCCTTGGTGCTGGTGCAGTACGGACTGCGGGCTGGGGCAGGTGTTGTAAAAGGTGCCAAAAGCTGGAGACATGACTGGGGCGGGGAGGGGCCAGCAGAGTTGAGTTGCCCCCTCTGGCCGAACGTGACTCAGCTTGTGGTACCTGGGGGTCTGTGGCCAGAGGCAGAGCCTCGCAGGGGCCGGGGAAGCCTCCACTGCATGCAGCAGGGTCCTTCCCCTGGTGGAAAGGAAGCCTCCAGGAGTGGAAGAGCAGCACTTTAGCACTTTAATTAGCTCTGAGAGCCGGCCCAAGAGCTGCCGACCCCTCCCCGTCCCAGCTGGCAAAGCAGGTAAAACTCTGGCTTGCATCTATCAATGCATCTCAAGCAAGACCCAACAAGTCATCCTCCCACTTTACTCGGGCTTGGTGAGGCTGTGGCTGGAGTCCAGAAGAGAGCCACACACATGAATAGAGGTCAAGAGAACAGGCCTTATCAGAAGAGGCTGAGAGGCATGGGACTCTTTGGCCTGGAGAAGCAAAGGCTCAGGGGTGACTTGGTGGCAGTCTATAATATACATCCTATATATTCATAAGGCCTATATGTACATATACAGCCTATATATACATAAGGGGTGCGCATCTGAAACTAGAAGAATGTCTGTTCACCAGGGCACCCCAAAGGAAGACAAGATCTAACAGTCACAAACTACTGGAAGACTGTTTTAGACTGGACAGAAGTAAAAACTTTCTTACCATCCGAGTCTCTAGTGTCTGGAATAGACTTCCCCCAAAATAGAGCAAGCACCTACTCTGGACATGTTCAAGAAACGCCTGGATGCTCACCTTGCTGGGGTCATCTGACCCAGCTGACTTTCCTGCCGAGGCTGCACCCGATGATCTCACGAGGTCCCTTCCTGCCCTAACGTTTATGAGATTAAAGTGCCTAGAGACCACCCAGCCCTGTGCAACTTCATGCTCAGGCAGCTGCCCCTAGACTGGGGTTGAAGTACAAGGGCTGCAAATGGCATGGGGCACTTATAAATGTACTCCAGAAGGGGTAGGGGCAGTGGTTTAATTTGAACAGCTCGAAGTGCCAATCTAATTAAAGTTATGCCATACCTCCTGTATCAGCATCTCCACACTCAGAAATGGTGGTGGGGGTGCTTGAACTAAAACTTGTTCAGCAAGCTATCATTACTAAATATCAGTTATTAGATCCGTATCGGCTGATATGCCTGGTTAATGATCAGCTACTGGTATCAGCCAAGAAAATCTTTACCAGTGCACCCCTACTGACTAAAGAGAAAGGACGCATCGCTTATGCTAGTGCATGGGGAGAACAGCTAAAAACAATGGAGGTAAATGAAGAAATGAAAGAACCACACTGAAATTCAGCAAAGTTTTCTCTCTCTACATATTACAACTGTTTGCCAGAGGAAGCAATGGAAATATCATTAGTCAGGAATCCTAAAACGAGACCGCAAAAAATTCACAGTCACTTCACCTACCTGTGTCCACTCTGAGCAATTTAAATCTATGGCTGTTCATAGGGTCCAGCTTGACAATCCACAGACCGCACCAAGCCCTGCTCACCTTCCTTTATTAAAACCAGCGTGCATGCTGGGCCAGGAGAAATCGAGTAGGTCCACAACGGTCTGCTGGCCCCAAATGTTTGGAAAATACTAGGCTGCTGGGAGTTGAATATAGGAGTTGACACAGATCACTGTCCTAGCGATCTTTAATTTATCATTGAATGGTGGTGAATACTAGCTGTCTATTTCCTAGCAGCGAGCCGCACCGCTCAGCAATAGGGGCAAATGGCTGGAAGGACCCGAGTTGTAATCCCAAGTGAGGTGGGGGCTTCCCACGCCGCGCTCCGCTTCCGGGCCAGCCCCGCAGGGGGCCAAGGAGCCAGTTACCGCGCGCTCTGCCCCTGCGGGGAGCAGAGACGTCTGCACACATACACATGCACGCATGCACACACACATATGTACGCATGCACATATACACACATACGCATGCATGCCGACGCGTGCTGCCTAGAGGATCAAAGACGACGCAGACAGACGTGCACTGAGCGCGCGTTGGGGAAGGACCCGGAGGTGCTTCCGTCCTCACCTGTGCATGGTGCCCCGCAGCAGATGCACGCGCGGAAGGGCCCGGGGTGTCCGCGCGCCACCAGCCCGTTCCCGCGCTCGGCCACCCCGCCCCGCCCCGCCCCGGGCAACGTTCGATGCTGCCGCGCGCGCGGGGACGGCAGCCGCCG